AGCCACTCAGGAGACTGAGGCAGGAGAATTGCTTGAACCCAGGAGGCAGAGGGTGCCGTGAGCCGAGATTGCGCCACTGTGCTCCAGCCTGGGTGACAGAGACTTTGTCTCAAAAAAAAAAAGTATAACTGTAGAACTTTCTTTTTTTTGAGACAGAATCTCGCCCTGTCACCCAGGCTAGAATACAGGGCAGTGGTGCGATCTCGGCTCACTGCACCCTCCGCCTCCTGGGTTCAAGCGATTCTCCTGCCTCAGCCTCCCAAGTAGCTGCGATTACAGGTGTGTGCCACCACACCCAGGTAATTTGTGTATTTTTAGTAGAGACAGGGTTTCACCATGTTGGCCAGGCTGGTTTCAAATTCCTTACCTCAAGTGATCCACCCGCCTCAGCCTCCCAAAGTGCTGGGATTACAGGCGTGAGCCACTGTGCCTGGCCTTATAGTTACACTTTTACACTGACTTTGTTTCAAAGTCAATAATGGAATAAAACACCCTCTATCACTGATGTCTGTGTCTCTACTTTACATTCCATTCCAAGTCATTAACAGTCTGGAGTCAGAGACATACTGATAACACTAGTTTTATCTGAATGACAAAACCAGGCACAAAAAAATATCCTCCTACTGGCTGCCTTTTCCAGGATTTACCAGGTATTTGTTTACATTAATACATGACTTCCACATGCAGCTGCTCTACTCCTGGTCGACAGAGAGCTGACGGTGCATCCAGATGTGGCCCCTGAACAATCCCTGCTGCCCAGCAGCCCTGACACCACAGGGCCCACACCCCGTCTCCATCCACGTCTGGGGAGAGCCCTTCCCAAGACCATGTGCAGTGCAGCCCCTTCCCAAGCTCATGTCACTGGGTCACAGGGTGAGATGGACTCTCAGCAGAGATGAGAGGAACTGAGGGAAGGCATGGGTGAGTGTGAACAAATGTGTCAGGCAGGACGCTTCAGACTCAGAGAAGATTCCCAACTCCAATGCATTGTCTCCCACCTTTCTGAAAGGAAGAGACAGGGCTGGGTGTGGTGGCTCACATCTGTAATCCCAGCACTTGAGGAGGCCGAGGCAGGTGGATCACCTGAGGTCAGGAGTTCAAGGCCAGCCTGGCCAACATGGGGAAACCCCATCTCTACTAAAAATATAAAAATTAGCCAGGCATGGTGGCAGGCACCTGCAGTCCCAGCTACTTGGGAGGATGAGGCAGGAGAATCACTTGAACCCGGGAGGCAGAGGTTGCAGTGAGCCAAGATCACACCATTGCACTCCAGCCTGGGCGACAAGAATGAGACTCTGTCTCAAAACAAAAAACAAAAAACAAAAAAAAAGGAAAGAAAGAAAAGAAAAGAAATGAAATGGCCAGGCGTGGTGGCTCACGTCTGTAATCCAAGCTCTTTGGAGGCCAAGGCAGGCGGATCACCTGAGGTTGGGAGTTCAAGACCAGCCTGACCAACATGGTGAAACCCTGTCTTTATTTAAAAAAAAAAAATGAAATGAAATGAAATGAAAAGGAAGGAAGGAAGGAGGAGACAGAACACTGTACACAGAATCCTCCTTTACCTGAGGAAGAGCCATCCCTGACTCTTTTGTTCTCCTCTTCTGCGTTTCTTCCTCCTGTACCAAGAGTCTTTAGAAGTCAGTGCTGAATAACAACAAAAATGATGTTTATTGCTCAAAAACAACACACCTGTCTTGTGTGACAAGCACACACACAGGGAGGACCTCGTCCTGTGCAAAGATGGTTCTCTGCTGCCCACTGCACCAGGGTGGACCCAGGGACAAGAAACGCCAACAGGAAAAGCAACAGGAAGACCAATACAGGCGTCTTCTGACCCCTTTCTTCAGAACCCCTCCCCTCCCGGGGAAGCCCCCACACACCCTACAGCTGTCGGGAGCAGACCCCACCCTGATCAAACCCCAGGTCCAGCACTGCCCCGCTTCCCTGTCTGTGGATCCCAGGCTGAGCTCTGCCCTCAGAATAGACAAGAGCCTTGGTGTTCAGGGCTGGATGTAGATTAGAATCACCTTGGGCACTGCATGCACTATTGAGGGTGGGTCCCAACCTACCTGAATGGGACTCTCTGGGACAGGGGTGGGGACACAGGGGTGTATCTGCAGAGTGCCTCATCACTTTCACATGAAGCCAGGGATAAGCACTACTCAAACGGGGCAAGCCCAGCTCAGCCCCCACCTCCTGGCTCTCTTCTCCCCTTGGGGCCTTGGTGTCATCAGGATCCAGACATTGGAAGCAGAAAGAATCCAGAGAAGCATGCAGAACAGCCAATATGGACCAGAGGTAGGGGTGAGGGTGTGGCTGGAGTGCTCATTGGGAGGTGGGTCACAGAAGTCCCCACTGAGAAGTGATATCAGAACAGACACCTGGGAAGGAGGCGTGTCTGTACCTGCAGCTGAGGGGCCAGCGAGTTCCAGCAGAGACACAGCCCACGTAAAGGGCTTGAGGCAGGAGAAACTTCGGCCCCAGGAACAGGAAAGAGGCCTGCGTGGCTGGAGCAGAGGGGCTGAGGAGGACACAGGCAGGAGATGTGAACAGAGAGGTCTCGGTGACCCAGATCAGGCAGGGACCAAGTCTTCAAACATTTTTCTCCCACGACTCCAAAGAATTTTGGAAATGATGTATTTCCTCACCCATTTTAATTAAACATATAATATTTTCTTTATAAACTAACACACTTATAATATCTTATATATTTGAAATATAAAATATCCAGTCCAGCTAAGCCCCAGGAAATACATGGTTACTGTCATCTAAGATGTGCAGGACTGCAGGGGAATGCTTCTGGGAGTCAAGAAGTCACATTTGGACACATGTAAGCAGAGATACCTGTTAGATGTCCTAGCAGAATGTTGAGAAGGCCAGGTGCAGTGACTCACACCTGTAATCCCAGCACTTTGGGAAGTCGAGGCGGGTAGATCACCTGAGAACAGGTGATCTACTAAAAATACAAAAAAATTAGCTGGGCGTGGTGGCGTGCACCTGTAATCCCAGTTACTTGGGAGGCTGAGGCAGGAAAATTGCTTGAATCCAGGAGGCAAAGGTTGCAGTGAGCCAAGATCGTGCCACTGCACTCCAGCCTGAGCAACAAGAGGGATACTCTGTCTCACACACACACACACACAAGAGAGGATGATTTGGCTCGTGGTTCTGCAGGCTGTACAAGAAGCACAGTGTCAGCATCTGCCTCTGATGAGGGCCTCAGGAAGCTTCCGTTCAGGGTGGAGGGTGAAGGGGTGCTGGCAGGGCAGATGAAATGGTGAGAGAGGAGAGAGAGAGAGAGAAAGAGAGAGAGATCACACTTTTTGACAACCAGCTCTCAGGGGAACTAAGAGTTAGAACTCACTCCCTGGAGTATAGCATCAAGCCATTCCCAAGCAATCTGCTCCCATGATGCACAGAATTCTCACCAGACCCTACCTCCCACTTTGGAGATCACATTTCAACATGAGAGTTGGTGGAGCAAAACAAATCACATCCAAACAATAGCATGTCCTGGCTACAAGTGGGGCTGGCACGTGGTACACAGTTGCAGGGTTGGCAGCAGCCAGGGGCAGGAACACACCTCTCCGAGTCACAACTAAGTAGGATCCCAAACCCTGAGACAGGTGGGTGGGTGAGTGGGGAAAGATCTCTTCCTTTGCTTCCAGGGGCTCAACAGTGAAAAAACCAAGGCCTTTAAATGAGCGAAAAGAAGAAAGAGGAGCTCCAGAGAAAAGGTGCAGAACAGACAAATAGGGGAATGCAAGAGGAGCAGAGCAGGAATGAAATGACACCAGGAAGTTCAGACATTTGTTTTCTCCTGACAGTGATCAGCTACGCAGGAATGGAAACCGAGTAGGCACAGTTGGATGTGGGGAGGTCCAGGAGAAATGAAGAAGCGTCTCCAGGTGGCCAAGCACAGTGGCTCAAGCCTGTAATCCCAGCACTTTGGGAGGTCAAGGCAGGCATATCACAAGGTCAGGAATTCAAGACCAACCTGGCCAACATGGTGAAACCCTTCTTGACTAAAAAGAAAAAAACAAAACGAAAAAACAAACAAAAATTAGCTGCGTGTGGTTGTACGTGCCTGTAATCCCAGTTACTCAGGAAGCTGAGGCAGGAGAATTGCTTGAACCCGGGAGGCAGAGGTTGCAGTGAGCCAAGATTGTTCCACTGCACTCCAGCCTGGCGACAGAGCAAGACTCTGTCTCAAAAAGAAAAAAAAAAAAAAAAAAAAAGGCCAGGCATGGTGGCTCAAGCCTGTAATCCCAGGACTTTGGGAGGCCGAGGCGGGTGGATCACGAGGTCAAGAGATCAAGACCATCCCGGTCAACATGGTGAAACCCCGTCTCTACTAAAAATACAAAAATTAGCTGGGCGTGGTGGCACGTGCCTGTAGTCCCAGCTACTTAGGAGGCTGAGGCAGGAGAATTGCTTGAACCCAGGAGGTGGAGGTTGCAGTGAGCCGAGATCGCACCATTGCACTCCAGCCTGGGTAACAAGAGCAAAACTCCGTCTTAAAAAAAATAAAGAGAAAGAAAAAAAGAAAAAGAAGAAGCAGCTTCTCCATATCCTTAGGGAGTAATTCCACCAGTCCTGTGTTAGTGCACCTGACTTGCACATCAACTGGTAACTGAAAGGGTCTGTTTATCTCCATCTCATTTTTTTTTTTTTTTTTAAGAGACTGGGTTTCCCCATGTTGGCCAGGCTGGTCTCGAACTCCTGACCTCAGGTGTTCGCCCACCTCGGCCTCCCAAAGTGCTGGGATTACAGGTGTGAGCCACCTGGCCCAGCCCTTGTCTGTCTGTTTTTAAACAGAATCCTGCTCTGTTGGCCGGGCTAGAGTGCAGTGATGCAATCACGGCTCAGTGTAGCCTTGACTTCCTGGGCAACAGCAATCCTCCCACCTCAGCCTCTCAAGTACCTGGGACTATAGGCATGAGCGACCACATCTGGCTGATTTTGAAATTTTTTACAGAGACAAGGTCTCACTATGTTACCTAGGCTGGTCTCAAACTGGGCTCAAGTGATCGTCCTGTCCTGGCCTCTGAAAGTGGCGGGATTACAGGCATAAGCTATAATTTTTAAAATAAACTGGATATGGTAGAGGCACACATTCTTTAGTTTTACCATTTCTTTTCCTGATGCAGACAAAGAAAAAAAAAAAAACCACCTGACATATACTGGAGCTCCTGCATTTGCTGAATAAATGAACAGAATGATACTGGGTGACATTAGTGTACCCTCTGGTACAGTGTTGACTTTGAGAAACTGATGTATGCAGGGGTCCTGTTGGACCTCAGGATGCCCTTCAGTGAGAGTGAGGGGGGAGCTGAGCAGGGCCAGCTGAAGGGCAGAGCCACGTGCCTTTCATAGAGACACTCTGCTTACCCACCAGGTGGAAGGGCAAGTGTCAGTTCAGCCAGAAACACATCTGGCTATGGGTCGCTGCCTGAGGCTGAGCAGACCCATGTGGCCAATAAAAGACCCTAAACCACCGGGCACAGTGGCTCATGCCTGTAATCCCAGAGCTTTGGGAAGCCGAGGTGGGTGGATCACGAGGTCGAGTTCAAGACCAGCCTGGCCAAGATGGTGAAACCCCATTACTACTAAAAAAAAAAAAAAAAAATTAACCAGG